CCGGACATGAGTGAAAGACTGCCTTCCGAATTAAATATGATTTATATGAGTGGTTGGTTATATCTTTTGAGTTGACTAACGCTCCTAACATCTTCATGCGTTTAATGAATTATATTTTACGGTCATATCTTGGTAAGTTTGTAATTGTTTATTTTGATGCATTTTAATATATAGCAAATTATTAGAAGATCATGTTGAGCATATTAAAAATGTCCTAGAAACACTGCAGAAAGAATAGGTATATGCTAACTTCAAAAAGTGTACCTTTTGTAGTAAAAATTAATCTTTTTGGGCTTCATTGTTAGCACATAGCATATTGAAGTAGATTACGAGAAAGTTTCCATTAAAGATTGGCCTACGCCTAAGACTGCAAGCGAGGTGAGGAGTTTCCATAGGCTAACCAGTTTTTACCGATGGTTTGTAAGGGATTTTAGTTCCATAACTGCACCTTTAAATGAATTTGTTAAGAACACGAAATTTGTATGGACTGACAAATAGAAAAATGTTTTTATTTACTTAAAGAAAAATTGTATACTGTGCCTACTCTAACATTACCAAATTTTGATAAAACATTTGAGCTTGAATATTATGCTTCAGGTATCGGTGTAGGAGTAGTACTACTACAGGAAGGATGCTCCATTGCTTATTTTAGTGAAAAGCTCAACGGCACACCTCTTAATTACTCCACCTACAACAAAAAACTGTATGCACTAGAGAGAGCACTGGAGGTATGGCAACATTATCTTCTACCCAAAGAATTCGTGATCTACACAAATCATGAATCATTAAAACATCTAAAGGGATAGGATAAGCTCAATCACCAACATGGTAAGTGGATAGAATTCATTGAAACATTTCCTTATGTCATCAGGTACAAGAAAGATAAGACAGCATTGTAGCGGATGCATTGTCACATAGGTATGTATTACTTACAAATCTTAGTTCTAAATTGTTCGGCTTCGAGTATATTAAAAAATTATATCCCAATTATAGTGACTTTGCTAATGTTTATGCAGTATGTGAAAAATGTGTCTTCCAGAAGTTCTATAGGCATGATGAATTTCTATTTAAAGATGAAAAATTGTGCGTACTTGTATGCTCCCAGCGGAAACTGTTAGTACGTGAGTCACACAGTAGGGGACTCATGGGACATTTTAGGATAGCTAAGACTCTAAGTATCCTACACCAACACTTCTACTGGCCCAACATGCGAAGGGATGTAAAGCGAGTGTGTGAGAAGTGTATTGCATGTAGGCAAGCCAAGTCTAGGTCTTTCCTGCACGGACTATACACTCCGTTACCCATTCCGTCAGCACCATGAACTAATGTGTCTATGAATTTTGTGTTAAAGTTACTAAGAATTAAGCGAGGAATTGATAGTATATTCGTTGTAGTGGATAGGTTCAATAAAATAGCACACTTTATAGCGTGTCATAGAACAGATGATGCAACGAATATAGCCATATATTTTTCAGTGATGTCGTGCGGCTAC